GCCTGAGGTCCAAGAATTATGACAGAGGAAGCTTCAGGTGCAGAAGGGACAAGGAGTTGAAAGATCTCCTCTGGTTTTGAGGTGTGGGAGTGAGTGGGTAAGTGGGGTGTGGGGGGAAAAGAGGATGAGATGGGGACAGAGTTCTCCTGGGAGAAAGGCAAAGTAACAGAGGTTGATGGGGGAAGGGGGAGTTTTCATGTTCTAAGGTGTCATTTAGGGAGTCATCTGTTATTTCTCATCTGTGGCTTGTCTCATCTATTTTGAGCAGCTCTGAGCCTTTCTAGATAAGGTGGGATGTAAATCTAAATAATCATAATGATGATGAGACTGAAACCTAGAGGAGAGGTGATTAAAGAGAAAAACTGTGATTGGTGAACTGGTGAAGATAGGGAAGTGACTTGATCTTATATTTGGGAAAGTGATATAATGGAGGTGGGGAGATGCTTTTCAATCTTGCTGACAACATTCAAGGGCTGAAAATTGAAGTTAGACAAATTCATCCTAGAAATAAGATGCAGTTTCCTGTCTCTGGAGGTAATTACATATTGAAAGAGTTTACATGGGGAGATGAAGGAACTCACTATTGCTTAGAGTATTTAGAAAGGGATTAGATACCTTTCTGAAATGCATACTTCTGAGAGAAATCCTACAGCCCTTGTGGATGTGGGGAGGGGTATTGAGCTGGGTTTCCATTCAGGTGTCAGACTCTCTGGATCCAAGTGCCACTGCTCATAGAATCATAGAAAATTAGGGTTGGAAGGGACCTCAGGAGGTCATCTAGTCCAATCCCTGCTCAAAGCAGGACCCATCCCCAACTAGATCAATCCAACAAAAACTTTGTCTAGCCCGGTTTTGAAAAACTCCAACGATGGAGCTTCCAGCACCTCTCTGGTTAACCTGTTTCAGTGTTTTACTACCCTCCTAGTGAGAAAATTCTTTCTAATATCTAACCTAAACTTCCCTTGTTGCAACTTGACACCATTGTTCCTTGTTCTGTTATCTATCACCAATGAGAACAGTCTAGCTCCATCCTCTTTGGAATGAGCCTTCAGATAGTTGAAGGCTGCTATTAAATCCTCGCTCAATCTTCTCTTCTCTAGACTAAATAAGCCCAGTTCCCTCAGTCTTTCCACATAAGTCATGTGCCCCAGCCCCCCTCACCGTTTTTATTGCCCTCCGCTGGACTCTCTCCAACTTGTCCACATCCTTTGTAGTGAGGGGCCCAGAACTGAACACAGTACTCCAGATGTGATCTCACCAGTGCTGAAGAGGGGAAAGATCAGTTCCCTCAATCTGCTGGCAACACACCTACCAATGCAGCCCAGTATGCCGTTAGCCTTCTTGGCAACAAAGGCACACTGTTGGCTCATATTAGCTTATTGTCCACTATGATCCCCAGGTCCTCTTCTGCAGAGCTGCTGCCCAACCAGTCAGCCCCCAGCCTGTACTGATGCATGGGATTGTTCTGTCCTAAGTGCAGGACTTTGCACTTGCCCTTGTTGAGCTTCGTAAGATTTCTTTTGACCCAATCCTCCAATTTGTCTAAGTCACTCTGAATCCTAGCCCTACCCTCCAGCATATCTATATTCCCCCTCATCTCATTCCTTCATGGGCTCTGGAGAAAAGAGAAGTGCCAGTTGTGTCTTCAGCCTGATCATAGTGCTTTCAGATGTGGACTGAGACTTTGATTGTAATAAGATCTCATGATTCGAGATTTCAGCCAATTGACTTCAGGAGGATGGAAGGAATATTTTTTCCTTGTGCACAGCTGGCTTGAACGTAATTCTGAGGGTTATTTTTTTGTTTGCATATTTGTTTATCCTGCCTATGAAGCTTCACAGATTGGCCCTTTGACATTAGGGCTGGAAGGGACCTCGCGAGATCATTGGGTCCAGCCCCCTGCCCAAGGGGCAGAAAATCAGCTGGGGTCAGATCACCCCTGTTCATAGGGCAGGGTAAAACAACCACTTTTGCTGGTGAAGATAATCTTTTTTCCTGAATTCTTGGTACATGAATCTTGCTCAGCAACAAACTGATGGCCAGATTTGTGGTTTGAGAATTAATTTTAGCCTGGGACAAATTGGTAGAAATTTGGGGCAGGGGAGTTCATGTTCTTCTGCAGCATAGAGTGCACTTCATCTGCTGGGAACATCTGGGAATATCTCACTTGAGCAGTTTCCTGTCATTGAAAAGGATTCAGCTATTGCTGGGCTTTTGGTCTTTCCTGCTGGTCTGGAGCAAACAAAATGGTCCCCTGATGACTAAAGCCTTAAGTCAGTGGTTTTCAGCCTGTGGTCCACAGACTGTCTAAGGGGTCCAGGAGAGATGACTATGATCAATCGAAAGTATGTGAATACTCACACTCACAATTCAAAGGGGTCTGCACCTTCATTCAAAATTTCCAAAGTGGTCCATACCTCCATTTAGATTTTTTTAGGGGTCTGCAAGTCATTGTCTTAGGGTTTAATCTAGGAATTCCTGGATGAAACTTTATGGACTGTGATAAAATGGCCTTGTCAGGCTAGGTGAAGGTTCCAGGTCAGCTGATGAACATCTTGGGTGCCAATATGATTCCATGTGATGTAAAAGCCCAGGAAATTACACCCAAAAGTACATTAAAATAGCACTCAGGTTGCAAAATCTATCACTGAAAAGTAGGAAAATGCCAGAATTGAAGGCAATATATAACTGTGTAACAGCTAGAGCAGAAGGGGATTTTCTGCTCCATTTAAAATTCTGAAGGGTTTGGAAATGTAATTTTGTTCCATACCATAGTGGGAAAAAAAAGAAAAAATATTGGATTTTTTTATGGAACGGATGGCAGCTGGAGAACTGGTGCCTGTGTCCAGAAGAGCAGCCCAGGATGCCAGCCCTCTGGGCATCTGACAGCTTAGCCCCCCAGTTTCCAAGCCTTAGGGCCCTGCTAGATTTTGCCTCCAGGCCCTTAGGGGTTTTAGGAGTTCCAGCTCTTAGAATGAGCTACTATCATCTAAGCAGATGAACTGACAGGGAATCTATCACATGAGATTACCTGTCAGTCCATCAGAATTTTTTTTAATTTTGCTTGTGTAAAATGTTCCAGTTTCCATAAATGGGCAATTTCCAGCAGAAAAATGCATGCTAATAGGAAGTTTCCAGCCATCTCTGATAAACATACAAGTTATACAATAGTACTAAGTGCACGCAGTTCCCTTGTTCTTGTTATGTTGGTTCATAGTAACCTTCTTCTGCAGGAAACAACATAGTTAATCCAGAAACTTTTTCTAATGAGATGGGTTATTGGAAGCTTTTAAAACATGTACACATTAAAAGGGCCATTAATGTAACCTAGTCCTGCTTTAAATAGCATCCATCCATCTCCAGAGACGGTCTTTCCTGAGATGGCCTGGGGTTTCAGGAGTACTCTGGACAGTGACTAAAATTAATTGGAAGATATTCAGGACATTTGTCTAAGGTCCTTCTGTAAAATATAGTCACACATGTAGTTTCCCCCTCTCCCCCATGATAGTGCTATGGATTTTTTAAGCATCAATTGACTCCATTTAGTTGCGTCAGCCCTTATCAGAAATCCGCTGTCAATATTTAGTCAAGCCTTGAAGCCGCCCACATTTCCTGGCAGCTCTGAAAGTGGTCTGGACACTGCTCTGAAGCAGATACCTTGATACCTGAGACTGCCAATGACAGCATAAATATTGCTATTTTGTTTCAATTATTTAGCGCATGAAGGACTGATTTTTCTAGGTGACGATCACCTGCAGCATCAGCTATAGTCAGAGAGTTATGAGTGTTAAGCAGCTGGTTAAATTAGACCTTTAATTTTTACTATGTATAATATATCAAGTTGTTATACCATGCATAATATTATGCATATAATATTATACATAGTATAATATAGACCACAGGTAGCCAACGTGCAGCATGCATGCCACAAATGGTATGGGAAGCTCTCCATATGACAGACCAGGGAGGGGACAGCCAGCACAGTGACATATAGAGCAGGAAGCAGGAAACAGAGCAGTAGGTAGGGCATGGAGCAGAGTGGGATCAAAGTGGCACTTGGAGAGGTTTCAGTATGTCTGGCAAAAAGGTTGGTCCCCACTGATATAACCATGTCTTCTTGCTGTTGGAGCAGTTGTTCATTACAGAAGCTTTTTTTTAATACAAAAGCTAATTAGAGCAACATCTTTCCAAAGCAAATCAAACTTTCTTAAGCTGATTACTAAGGGAGCTATTTTTAGTACCCTGCCTTCATTTTCATGCTCTTTAGCAGCGTGTAGCACTTGACACCTTTATTCAGAAATATGGTTTAGTTTCTGAAATAATTGTATCTAGTGAGTCTGTGTATAATTTATAGTTGGCTAAGACCAGAAGTCCCAGCCCTTAAAAATGTCCCTGCATCCCAGAAATTCTGTGCATCAGAATAGTTCTCTGGTCATAGCTTTTTTGTTTTGACAGTTCGTATCAGCAGTTTTCTTCGCTGATATATTGATTGTATGGCCTGAGTCCTGCTGATCTAATAAAACATCACCATCACAGAACAAGGAAAAAAGAAATCTTTAGTCTTCTTGGCAACTGCCAGTGCTTTCCAGAATATTGCTTTGTGTAGAATGAAATGGCTTTGGGCCAGTGACTAATTATATTAAAGTGCTGTGCTTTTAAATTATTTATGCACTGTAATGTTTTACCCTAGTATTATTAAAACCTCTGTAACTAAGATTTCGGTTCAGACAGCTGTGACAGTTCTTCTATGGGTGATATAGTACACCAGGGGTTTTTAACAAATAGTTTAACCCCACATTAACAAATACCTTCATTGTGGAATACAGCTGTGGCAGGAAACGCAGATGGAAATAATTTACATCGACTTAGACGAAATAGGCTAAGCAACAACAATAAATACAGAGGTATCTTGAAAAATGTTGTTTGCAGTGCTGCTTTATAATGTTTAAAATTGATCAGCTTCAGACAATACTAATAAGAAACTTCTTTTATTTATGCAGCAATTGCTGAGTATACAGGAAGAATTAAATAATAAGAAATCTGAACTGGAACAAGCGAAAGAAGAACAAACACATACACAAGCAATGCTTAAAGTTCTTCAGGAACAGGTGAGTGTTTACATTAATAGAATAATCCTCTAGTAATGCATTATAGTTCTTTTGCTCACTTTAAAATGAGTGGGAATTGGGCTATTGACTGAATTATAAGCAGGGTATAACAATATATATGACCTGTGTGTCTATTCTATCTAGCATACGCAAATGCTAGTTGAAGGTAATGTATACTATAGCTTATGAAAACACTGTCAAAATGAGATTGAAATCCGTCAGTTTTGCAGTGGGGAATACTGAATTTCACAACTTGTGTAACATTTTCTGTTATGTTCCTCTATACAGATACCAGTGATGTGTGAGTGTTTTCTATCTGAAGACAAATGAATTTTAGGATAGTTAAATATGCCAGAAAAGTAAACATTTTTCAAAGAAAGAAGCCATTTCTTTTAAGACCAGAAGCAGGGAAAATGAGTTTAACATCTTCTGTGTTATTCATGCAGACACAAATTTACAAAAGATTGAATAATGATGACACTAAAAAAAAATCCCAGTGCATCAGTGCACTTATCTAGCACTTCTTCTAGTGGGAAGACGAGAACCTCTTATATACTTTGCAAATCTGATCGTTTCAGTTTAGCTTTCTTTGATACTAAAGTGCTGTGTGGCATTGATAAGTGTATTTGAAAGTATTGTCTTACAAGCAAGATGGATTGTTTCGCAGCAAAGAGAAATCTGAACCTACACTGAGAGATGAAGTGCCATACTGTGCACACATATAGAGTATGCAAATGTGGGCTGGGTGTGTAGACTGTATAGTTGTGAAGACAGGAGTCACAACTTAATACTTGTACTACATAGTTACAACATCTCTTCTATTTCATAGTTTCATAATTAATAGGGTCAGAAGGGACCTGAGCAGATCATCAAATCCGACCCCCTGCCATAGCAGGAAAGAATACTGTGGTCAAACGACCCCAGCAAGGTTATTGTCAAGCCTTGTCTTAAAGCCAGCACCACTTCACTTGGAAGTTGGTTCCAGATCCTAGCCGCACTGACAGTGAAGTAGCGCCTCCTGATGTCTAATCTGAATTTACCCTCTGCCAGCTGTGACCGTTATTCCTGGTCACTCCTGGTAGTGCTTGGGGAAACAGGGACTCCCCCAATGCCTGCTGGTCCCCTCTGACTAGTTTGTAACAGGCCACTAGATCCCCCCTCAGCCTTCTCTTGTGGAGGCTGAACACGTTCAGGTCCCGTAGCCTCTCCTCATAGGGCCTGCCCTGCTGCCCCCAATCATGTGAGTGGCCGTATTATAAGACCTCTGTTTTAACATTCCCTAACTTTTTAGTTAAAACAGTGGGGTTATTATTTTAAGCATCCAGCCTTTTTTTTCTTAAACACTTTGTAGAAGTGAAGAATCTCAGTTGTTTACATAGCAAGGTTTCAAAAAGACTAAGATGGTTAGTTTAAAAAAGCACCTTTCATAAGTTTTCAGCCATTTGTCCTCAATACCAGGTGTTGATAAAGTATAAAAAGTATTTATAGGTGTATTAAAAATACTGATGTATTGAATTGTTGTATTTATTCCAAAATTTTGTTACTGTTTATTTTTAGAATTATGCCTTTGTTGCATATCTGCCATTTGTCATCAAGTGCATTTAGTGGCAAATGTATTTTACAGTCTGACCATTTGGATTTTGCAGAATAGTTTTCATGTTAAAAATATCTCTAGCATTTATGGTTACAGTTATCAATGTGAATTGAAGTAACATAGTTTTAAACAGAAGGATATGAGGAAGAATGGATTTTTTTACAGTATTTTTGAAACATACAATTTCAGATGATGGAATGAGTTAAAGGACATAGAGAATATAAAAGAAATGGAACAGGTAGGGCACATCTACACATCGCGCCTTACAGTGATGTTGCTATGACGCTGTACTTTCATTCTTCCTTTTGGAAGAACCAAAGCACGGTGTAGTAGGGGTGGTTACTGCACCATGTGGGCAGCGCATGCTTAGATTTCCTCCCTGCGTTGCCGAGGAGCACTGCTATGCCTCGGGAGTGTGCCACTATGGCGATGTAGCTGGCGATCATATGTAGACCCATGTGATCACTACATTGCCATAGCACACCATATGTTGACATAGAACATTGCTACGTTGCCATAGGGTGATGTGTAGATGCACCTGTATAGTATGATTCTATCATTCCCATTTGAAACTTTATTTCAACATGTTTTAATATTAGAATATGGCATCATAAAATAGTGCCTTAAGAATAGAAAAGTACATTTTTTAACATACATTAGAATCATAGAAAAATAGGGCTGGAAGGGACCTCAGAAGGTTTTCTATTCCAACCTCCTGCTCCAGGCAGGAACATCCCTGTTTAATACATTCCTGTAAAGTATTTTTCTAGCCTGTCTTTAAAAACTTTCCTGGATGGGGATTCCACAGCCTTTCTAGGTAATCTGGTCAAGTATTCAACCACCCTCATAGTAACAAAGTTCTTCCTAATTTCTATTTTAAATTTCCCTTATTGTAGTTTAACACCATTATTTCTTCTTCTGTACCTGGCAGCCACTATCCTTATTATAATCACCCTTTGGGTGTTTGAAAACCCGTTATCAAACTTTCCTCTTCTCCGCAAATATCTCTTCTCCCAATTAAATAATCCCAGAATTTTTCCCTTTAAATCATGTTTCCCATACACCAAACATTTGTATTGCTGTCCACTGTACTCTTTCTAATTTGCCCACATTCTTCTTGAAGTGTGGTGCCTAAAACTAGACACAGTACTACAGCTCCATACTACAGGCCTCCCTCGTGCTGAATAGAGTGAAAGAAATACTTCCCTTGATTTGCAAGCATTGCTCCTTTTAGCACAGCCCAGTATGCTATTGGCTTCTATTGCAATAAGAATAGACTGTTGACTCATATTCATCTGGTTGTCCACTATAACCTCTAGCTCCTTTTGTGCAGTACTCTGGCATAGACAGTCATTTCCCAATCTGTATTTATGTATGTGATTATTGTTTCCTAAATGTAGGACTTTACACCTAATCTTATTTAATTATGTTCAGTAAGTTTCAGATGTTTTCTGGTTTATCAAAGTCATACTGAATCCTAACCCTATCCTCCAAAGTGTCTATATCATCCAAAGTGTCTACAACATCATATGGTGTGGCATCACCAGCAAATTTGCTAACTGTACACTCAGTCCCATTCTCCATATGAGGGCTGGCCAACTTCTGAGTGGTTGGAGGTCACAGACATCACAGACACACAACATGCACTCTGTGATGGGCAGCACCCTGTACCTTGCCAGCACCCTAAGGCCAAGCATGCTGCGCTGTGTGGCCCCCCGAACACTGTCCCACCACCCTGCCCACCATGCCACATACCCTCCGTCTCCCACCATACTGTGCTGCTGCCCATGGGTCACTCTGAACTGTCTGGCTACATTTTCCCACAGGCCATGCTGCCCTGACACACTCCAGGATTATCTCTGATGTAGTCCAAAATCTTGCTGGACTGTCCAGGCAGGGCCGAGCTACCCTCCCAACAGATCATAGAATCAAAGAAAATTAGGGTTGGAACAGATCTCATGAGGGCATCTAGTCCACCCCTTTGTTCAAAGCGGGACCATTCCCAGCTATATCATCCTACCCAAGGCTTTGTCTAGCCATGTCTTACAAGCCTCCTAGGATGGAGATTCCACCACTACTTTGGGTAACCTGTCCCAGTGCTTTCCTAGTGAGAAAGCTCTTTCTGATATCTAAGCTAAACTGTCCTTGGTGCAACTTGAGACCATCGGTCCTGGTTCTGTTATCTGCCACCAATGAGTATGATCTAGCTCTTTGGAACCACCCTTCAAGTAGTTGAAGGCCACTATTAAATCCCCCTCCTCAGTGTTCTCTTCTCGAAGCTAAATAAGCCCAGTTCCCTCAGCCTCTTCTCATAGGTCACATGCCCCAGGCCCTTAAGCATTTACACTGCCCTCCACTGGACTCTCTCCAATTTGTCTATATCCTTTTTGTAGCAGAGGGCCCAAAACTATACTCTAAATGTAGCCTCACTAGTGCTAAATAGAGGGGAAGAATCACTTCCCTCAGTCTGGTGGCAATGCTCCTACTAATGTAGCCCAGTATGCTGTTAATTGCCTTTGCAGCGAGGATGCACTGTTGGTTCATGGTCAGCTTATTATCAGAAGATACATGGTAAAGTCCCATCACAGCATGAGGCCCTGTGAATTAGATTCTTCAATTAGTTGTTTGAAAAAAGGCTTGTCTACCCTTTCTCCTGGTTTGATGGCCTATCGCGACATCCATCATGGCATCTCCCTTTCTATTCTTCCAGTTTACCTTGACCCAGATATTTTCAACAGATCTCCTGCCCATCTTGTAGTGACTTCAGAACAAATGTATGTCTCCTTTTTATATAAAGAAATACTGCTTTTAATATTCCAGTCATGCAAACTATCCCACAAAGTCTCAGTTACCCCAGTTGGATCATGCTACTTATACTGTATTAGGACTTCCAATTCTTTATGCTTATTACAATGATCATTTCTCTTTCTGTCTCTTTCTCTGGTCTCACAAGCCTTGAGGGCCTATAACTGTTTACCATCTCCTATCTTGTGCAATGTCTTTCAACCTTGCTATATCTTCAGCTATCCCTTCCAAATCAGAGTACCATTAGGATAGTCATCATAATTAATTGCTATTATAAAAGCACATAGAAAGATCCAATCTCAAACCTGAAATAACATCTACTAACATAGACCTTTGCATCTTAGCAGGACCACTAATTGTAAATTGGTGCCATACTCTCTTCTCAAGTCTTCAGACAACGTAAGGATAAAAAAACCAGGTGGGATGTATCCCTATTCATCACAAGAATTATCCTTGAAATGTGACCCTAAATGATAGTTTAGGTAGCCATAATCTTTCAGTAGAAACAAAACATGTTGTTTCCCTCCAACAATTTCTACAGTGTACAGCCATGTTTATACATTCTTCTGGATTGCCTGTGCACTGGATTTTGAAAATCATGGTTAGAGTCATATGAAAGCAGACATTTAATATAGAACTAAATAGCACTGAAGCTACTGCATTGATTGCATTATTTATTTCTGTATTAAAATCAACATACCCACAATTTTTTTGTTTTTACTTAAAGCTGCCACAACATTTTCAGCTGTCCTGGAAAGCCTGCAGAAGTATATGTTGCAAACTGCTAAATTTAGGTCAAAGAGGTCCTTGATTGTACATGTAAATCCCATATATTTTACATGTGCAGTTCCTGTCCCTTGTAACTGTCCCTAAGGAACAAGCACCTCAGATAAACATGGGTATTTTGGCAAAGTCCTGAAATCTTAACCCTTCTCCTTTCCTTTCAGGTCTATGAAGGGTAGGCCCTGGGTGATTGCTGGCTCTAGTTCAGTGTGATGCCTCACCATGCTCTCTGCTGGTGACATTACACTCGCCATTGAACTGCGATGGAGCCTGCCTTTGGGGTAAGGCAAGTCCTATTTTTTCCAATATTGTATGTTTTCCAAGGCTTTTATTCTTTTTTTCATACCATTTAGGATATAAGAGATGATCATTTTAATTTAAACCAAAAACCACAATATTGGAAAAAAGGGACTTTACCCCTAGTCTTTGTGTCTAGAGTTAGACATATTTTTCCTTACATTTTTCTACCGTTGCTGCTACTGGTGAATCTCTACCACTGATTGTGGTGGTGGGAAATAAGGCCTTGTTGGCTACCAGCATAGCACCCTCTGGCCACATCCAGATGAGCATGGCCGTGTGGTATGTAGTGCCACAGACATCTGCAGTGCCACATACCATGCATTCAACTGTTCTCCGCACTGCAAGGGGGCAGTACAGGGGTGTTTTTTGACCCCTGGATATTCAGAGGTCAAAAAACCCATGGAAAAAATAAGCCGGGCAACATGCTCCGCTCAAAACCAGAGCCTGGCTGACAGGAGCCACACTCCGGCTGCTGGCCAGGCTCTGAGCAGCAGAATCACTGCTGCTGCAGCCCCAGGAGGTCCCCCAGGTAAGGCTGCTGGGGCCAGCCCAGTACAGGCAACCCCTGCTTAGCGCTCTTAATTGGTTCCTGAAAAACCAAGCGTTAAGCAAAACCAAAAGTAATTGATGACCCAAGATGGTGACCACAAGTGTTTTTAATGACTCAAGATGGCGAACATGAGCGTTATAGCAAAACTTTCTGAGCGCTAAGTGAAACCAGCTATTGATTTAAAATGAGCATTAGAGCGAAGTAGTGCTAAGCAAAACAGCGTTAAGCAGGGGTTGCCTGTACTGGCCCCGCCCTCCCCCACCCCACCCGGGGTGACCTGCCATGCACCAGAGGGCATGTGGCACAGGCATTCCCTGGGAACAACTAGTGACAACACAAGATGTCCCACTGCGAGTTGTCCCCGGGGAACCAAACATTTGCCCTCATGTATAGCGGTCTCTATGTATTTAATTTTGCTTAGAGCAGGTCTAGAGGACACGCGGTTCATGTCTATGACTGTCTACTCTAATTATCTTCGTAGGAACATATGAAATGCTATTCTGGGTCACACCAATGAATGGTATATCTAGCCCAGTATCCTTGCTCCAACAGTGCAGGAATGGATGCTTTAGAGAGAGAGAACACCAAACTGGATATATCTATAGAAATCTATCCCCTGTTGATTACCCTCCCTGGCATCCATTACCGCTCCTGGTATCACTGACATACACTCTTCTGCCATCATTAGAACTGATTCTAAGGGGAAGTGTCTAGGATAGATGTGTGCCTAGAAGTAGATTCTAGCCTTTAACAGAATGATAATGTGATCCAGTGGTGAGTGTGGAGTCACTGGCAAGACACAGGTACATGGAGCACCTTCCAGGGAGCAGTTAGTGGTCATAGGGTAACTGTACTTTATGAACCTAGAAAAGGCTGGGAGGGGAAAGGTAAGTGGTGATTTGAAATGCGTTGGCCTGTCTATTGCCTTATTCAGTATCCTACTTATGTAAGGATGACTTGTGGAATTAAGATTTTGTGCACACAGGATGAAAATTCGTTTTGAAATATGCTAGTTATTTAAGTTACCATGAAATACAATTTAAAACAGAAATTCATAACTAGTGTTGCTCTGTGGAAATTACATTCTTGGTCTCCATGAGGGAAAAACAATTTGCACCATTCTTGAGTACCTCCTACTGCTCATTTGTGCTTTATTGTGCTTTCACTGACAAAGTTGCTTATCGTTGCATTGAAAAGTTACAGCATTCACATAAAAAACTTCGGACTGCTTTATAAATATCAAATGTTTTGAATCAAACAGAGTAGGTTCTGTTTCATCAGACTTTTAGAATTGTCCTTACATAATTAAGTATATATATCATGCATAAAAGGTGATGCCTATAGAAAATTCTTCTTCATAGCAAAAACAGGTGGAAACAAAGGCATCCAGCAAAAAACTCTCTTTACTATCGTTATCATCGCCACTCTCAAATATCTCCTTTGAATTAGGTAAGAAAAAAGGTCCAACTTTTTGGGGCAAATCTAGTATTTTGAAAAGGAGCGTTCAGAGTGTGGTGCATCATCACATATAACACAACAAACATTTTTCTGCAGTTAAAAAGAAACTAGAAACTTTAGGGGCCTAGGGCTGTATTACTCAGTTTAAGATCCAAGGAAAAAACCAACTATAACTTTATTGGAATGTGCATGAATTTGCTGTATCATATATTATGTAAAAAACCACAATAAAAGTGCAAAAATAATCAAAAGACATCTAATTAATCCTGTAGTCATTAGAATTGAATATACATCTCTTTCAGGTTTATAAAATAAAATCTAGCCTTCTTAAGCATCTTGACAGTCCATCCAGTGAATCACTGAAGTTATTTCCACATGTGAGTTAATGTTTCTGTGTAGAGTTAAAAGCAATCTGTGGAACTGTGAAATAGGAAATACATCATCCAGATTAGGTAACTGACAGAAGAATTGCAGAACAAGGGATAGTTTGATTAGTTTCATTAAAGACATTAAAAGGGAGAGGAGGTCATTAATGCCTACAGAATGGAGAATTTAGAAAGAATCAAGTATATTATAATGAACCATGGAGTCAGTTGAGACCTTCACTGCTGCCTGAATAGAAATGCTGCTTCCACTGGGAGGAAATTGATTTTAAACTTTGGGTGAACCAAGAATCAAAGTGGGCAGGTGCAGCTGTCTCTGGATGTACTAAAGCATGAGCGCAATTTTCTGCATGTAAAGTTATCTGATTCAGGCGCACGAACATTGTGGCATATACCTTTTTGTACGCTTGTTCAGCCATAAGTGGTGTGTGCACAAATCTTTGAAAATTTGGCCCCAGATGTCAGATAGGTAATTTCTTTAATTCTTTTGATTAGGGGTATTTGAGAGCCTCCCCTGAAGTAATCCTGAGTTGCGATTAAAAAGCTCATTGAAAAAAAATGTTTCAGAACCTCCATATGAAATTGACAATGTCTTCTCAGCTCTTCCTCCCACTAGCTAAATAAATGAGCTGCTCATCCCTCCTCCTTCTCCTCCTCCATCATACCCAGGAGCCATGTCAGTTATCTGGATACATCCCCACAAAGGAAACCTACAGTAATACTTCGGCATTTTAAGCAGCTCAAAATATATCATTCAGAAGTAATCATTAGCAAAACACTGTTTAGCTACTGGCAACTTGCAAACACTGCAAAGTTTAAATTAATAGAAACAAGAATGGGAAATGAAATCATTTATTATTCTTGAGAGCCAATTTTATATACTTTTTATGCCTTGAAACTACTTTCTAATCTTATTATTTTTTTAAAAAATGACCCAGCCTTACTTTTTTCCTTTTTTTTTTTTTGCCAACCTTTCAAGCATTAAACATGTTGGTTTCAAAATGGTTTGAGCAAAAACTCATTAGAATTATATGCTCCATCTGTTTTTCTCATTGGAGGCTTTATAAAATGCTACTTCAAATAAATCAAAGATAACTGTGAAATACTCAAGTAATGTGCTTGTTTTTTGTTTTGTTTTGTTTTTTGTTTAATCTTTGCAGTTAAAAAGTGCCAAGGAGTTAGCAGAAATCAATGGCCATGACGAATCTCAGGCAAATGTAGGTATAGCTGTATTTGCATGTTTATGTTCCCAAGCTTGCTTTTTGCATTCGAAAGTTGATAGAATGACTAAATGGTCTAAAATCAGGTTTGGAACATCTATTCTTCCTAGAGGTGCAGGTTCAAATCCCTGCCAAGTTCATTTTGAGATAGATGAACTGAGTTCCATTCAGTTTCCTTTCTGGGATTATTTGGATGAGATCTTAACAACCAGAGTCCTACTTGCTCTGTATGGATATTAAAGATGTCACAGGAATGTTTGTAAGAAAACTTCTTTACATTAGTAGTCAAGATTGCCCATCCTACCATGCTACACTGTCATCACGACTGCTACCTTCCACCACAGATTTGACTGCATTTTTGCTTTATAGGCACATATGGAGTCACTTTAGCTTCCAGTACTAAGTTTCTTAAAGGGACTGTGTCTGGTCATAATTTATAAAAAATTAAGACCAATAGAAATAGTCCTATTGTCTCTGCTATTCATTGTAAAGAGAAGTAATGGGTACATTTTCCTGCTATTTTTGTAATCCAAACCTTGCAATACAGTGCTTCATTGTAAGCATCTGAACATGAAAATGGCTTGAAACAAGTGGCTGGCTTAATATCTTTGTCTTGGCAGAGAGAAACAGTAACAGCATGATTTTTTTAAATTATTGCTGTTTTAATGATCTAAAATAGTATCAGTTAGACAGGTAAGGACTCATTTTAACTCTTAAATGTGTCTTTAAAGCTCTGTGGGACTCTTTAACTTAGTTTAACTAAAGAAGGGGTTTTATTCCTTTTTCTAATTTTCTTTGAACCTTATTCATTATGGTCTGATTCATCAGTGAAGTCTATTGGACTGCTGAGCCTTCAGCCCCTTGCAGGAGGAATTAATTATTCTTTAAAAGCTCCATAAAAGCAAAAATTGATACCTGTAGGTAGCACTTGGGCAGCCCTGAAACATTTTGTTTTTACAATAGAATGGGGAAGAGATAAGTTTATGAACCTGAATTTGTCACTTCTGGTGCCTGAGAACTGTCACCTTCCCACTACAGTAGGTCAAAAAATGATGACAAAATATTTCAACTTTATCAAAAAAAAATTTCGCTTAGAAATATCAAAGACAAAATAGTTCAGTAGTTTTGTTTTGAAGTACATTTTCCAAAAATAACATTTTATTCTAATTCAAGATGAGATTTGAGAATGTCTGAACTTCCTAAAGAATGGAAATTCCGTTGTCTTTTTCACATACTCAGTGTGGTGCATTGAGCACTTTACAGTAAAGGAAATTGAATATTATGGCTAGTTGTGTGTGATTGTAGGATTGAATTCAAAAGGAACAGCATCAGCACCATTCCTAAAATACTGATAGAAAAGGAAACTAGACCACTGCAATGAAGCAATAAGTTTAAAAATCACTCCATGGTAAAATCTGGAAGAGATACAAAAGCGCTAACACAAATGGTAGCAGAGAAATGTGTTACAAGACTGAATAATGAAAGGAAATGTGATTTTCTTTATGGAAACAACGAATGTTGGAAAGGAAGTTGGAAATATCAGTGCAATTTTACTTTATATTGAATATTTAATACCCAAGTGCTGCTCTTTGAAAAATGCATCCAGACCTTCATTACCAGTGGAGTCTATGGTTTTTGCCCTTGGCCAGTGTCTAAATCTGAGCTGATCAAAGAGGAAAAGATTTGGTGGTTCCTACTTTGTTATTAGTGGACTGTGATGCATAAAATAGGATTAGTACATATTTGATACAGTTGACAGATTGAATTTAGCAAATGAAATACCTTCACATTGAAGGTATGATTAAAAGTTGTTGGCAAGGAACTATGACAATATCTGTTTGCTATCCGAACAGAATATGACCTATCTCTCTACAGCTAAGCTTGAGCCACTTATATCTTTTGCTAGTGAAAACCAGCATCTTAAAAAGGGCTGCAGAAGCCTCTATTACGGTCTCTGCATATTTACTGGAGTCTTATACTTCAAAAAGACTTGTCCATATTGCAGTCCCCCCCCCCAAAAAAATTCTCCTAAGTCATGAAGCCCTGTCACTAATTTAGATGTATTTTATGTAATAATATTGTTGTTCGTTAAAACAAAAGATTGAAACATCTTTCCTCAGGGAAGAAAACAGATAAAAATATTATACATCTTATATGGCCATAGGCAGGGATGGGACATACAATTTCTCATGGCCAGAACATACCAAAAGTAATGCAGGAAATTGAAGCATCTCTAGAAATGAATACTCACCACTGATGAAAGGGTCCCAACCACTAACACACACATACTGAGCCAATATTGGATTTTCTCCTCCTTTTGCCCAGAGCATGCCCCACAATCATATCAAAGGCTCGACAAAAGTAATCTTTTGCTCACTGTGTGTATCTACATGTTATATTAATGTGACACAGTAAACTCCGGCACCATTCACTCCGGAGTTTATTGCTCACAGACACAGCATTTACACGTGAACCCAGGACCGCAGCATGTTGAGCTGGGGCAATGCAGCCCAGCTGACAGAGGGTGGTCAGCCTGCCAGCCCAGAGCTGCTCCTTCATGGCTCAACATGCTGGAGAAGGGCTGGCTTGTGCACAAGGGTGCTATAATGCAGAGCTAGCTGACCGGCAGCATCTATACCATAGCACCCTTGTGCCCCAGCCAGCCCTGTCACCATCTACACGTGTTTCACTGCATGGTGCTACTCTGCTGTAGGATAGGACTTGTGTCCCAGTAAGCTAATATTAATTAGCTTATTAAATAATAAACTTATTAAATATAAATAAACTATAAATTATATTGTTATAAATGTATATAATTCGATATAATTTGTTTATATTTTATATAATTTATATAATGCAATATATAATCTATATAATTTTATATAATTTATGTAATTATTAACTATAAATATAAATAAATAAATACACTTATAAAATATTAATTAGTTTACTAATTTGTTTACTGTGGCCTAATAGCACCCCACATGTAGACGACAGTGCTTTACTGCGGAGCTAATTAGTTAGCAAATCACATGTTCCTTGTAACATGTGCTGGGCCCTGCATACAGCTAGGAGAGCATGTCATAAACAATTTTCTAGTTGCATGTAGTAGTAATTGTTACTGTTGATGACCGACATGGTTTTTAATTCATTGTGAGTTCCAATTTTTCCCTCCGGTACACTATGTAGAAGAAAAGCACCAGCATAATGTGTATACTATCCTCAGTGAAAATCCTGTCCCTGTGGGAAATCTGAATTATCAGTGACTTCAACAGTCCCATAACCAAGGCTGACAGAAGAGCTGTTGTGCAATGTGCATTTTCAGGGGCCCAGTAGCTAGCAGAAGAGTGTTCATTGTCTTTAGTTCTGACCAATTCATACAAAATCTTATTTATTTCCCCTTCATTGCTGGTCACAGCGATATTTAATTCATATCACTTTCTTAACTAAAGAGAAATATATTGGCCAATGGGCAGTTTTATGTTCAGATTTTATCCTTTTATCTTTTCCTGGTTTCTTGTTGATCTTAATGTCTCAATGTGTAAAAAAGCACTTCTTTTTCTGAGAAAAAGTGGAGGGGCAGGGAATATTTTATTAAAATATTTTATGAAATGAAAACCAAAAAAATAGATTATGTGGTTCACCACAACTTCATCCTGTTGCCCACTATAAAACTTAATTAACTTTGGCTGCTGGATGTGAATGTTTTGACACAACTTCCTGGAAGTTGGAGCATCAATCTTCCCATTTCAGACAACATCCATGAAACCAATGATTGTTGCAGAAGAATTTCTCAATAGCTACAATATATTTCAGGGTTGAAATCCTGGCCTCTGAAGTTAGTAGCAAAACTCCCATTGACCTGAATGGGACTGGGATTTCACTAATGGACTTTAAGAATTATGTCTTTTTCAGCCCAGTTCAACATATTAATCATCCACATCTCAGCAGGTTTGAGCAACTGGAGATGAGACTTTCTATTACCTTGTTGTATTTTAGTTTCATTGTCTGAACAAGTGGTAAAGCTTGCCATAGTCTGTGTTTTCATCATTTTTGGTTAGCATCTCCTGCCACTTGGATACAGTATGCTGTATTTTTTTTCCTTCAGATATAAATTCAACAGTGATAAGTTAGAGTACATTTTTTTCCTATGGATACCTAACCATTGTTGGAGCATATCTCATGTTCAGCCAGGTATCCAACATTTATGCTGATACTTTTATTCTACCCCTCTCCTCCAGCCCCCTTTATTACATTTGCCACTTTTGGGTGTAGCCATCTGAGGCTGAGTTTAGAGTGAAATACTTCAACCATTTTGACAACTCATATAGTTAGTACTAGGCCAGGGGCAATGTAATCTCTTATAGAGTGCAGGCCTTCACATTGTAGATGTTTTCACAACATAAACACCAGATGATCTTTGCCATTTTTGGTTTGTCCAAAACTAGAAGAATCAGCTTCTTAAATTAAACTGATTTTCAAGATTAGTTGGAAGACTTAACAGGGGCTTAAATTATGCCAGCTGCATTTCAAGGATAATGATGCCATTCAAGTTCTTTCAGTGCAGGATCATCAAACTCATCAGGAGGCTGCTCTTCTACTTCCCCCGACAAAGTTACTGTTGATGCAAAAGAGCCAAAAGAAAGTGATTGTCTGCATTTTTTAAAATTAACATAAGTGTTTTGTTATGGCTTGGTAATTCTTCATTGTGATTACATTTCACTTGAGCAGAACTGTAAGTCAGATCCAGAAAGGGACTTCAGGTACCAAGAATTGGAGCATAGGCAGAATTTAGATACCTAAGTCTAAAATTACAGCCTTAAAAGCCCCCACTGCTGGCCAGTGCCTCAGGTTTTTTTATATTGCAGGTCCTCAAGTTCCTAAAGCTCTGTTCCACATTTGCCCAGAAGCATCCTGGTTTTTACAGATCTGAGCAACTTGGCACTTAGCTCACAACTGAGCCATTCAGGAGCCACAGACTAGCAACTTCTCCCTTT